ATTTAAAAATAGAAAAATAGGAAATTAATTCCAAAAATCGATTTTAAAATTTCTGAGTTATATTGACATGTCAAATACTTCCCAGAAAATATAAAATCTAATTTTCATAAATATTAAGTATTTATGGCACAAATAACAAGTATTCTACACATAAACTACTTAATAAGAATAATATAAAAATACCCCAAACAGTAATTCCAAAAATTACTGAACAAAATTATATTAGGTCCAGTATCTAAATATGGCCACCTAATTATATTCTGGGGGTGTTCCTTCGGTACTATTCACTAGTCCGATTTTTAATTATTTTAAATTGCAAAATTAATATTTTAAATTCTAGAAAAATCATATTCTGGTTCTGGAACTTATTTTTGACTTGGAAAATAAATTTTGATATTTTTGGAATTTCGAAATATATTTTCTCAATATAATTTCGGTTTTCTAGCTTTGAAAAATGGTTTTCAAAATTTTAAATTTTATTAATTCTGGAATTTTAGGATTTCCTGATTAATAAAGTTTACTGGGAGTCTCCAATAATTATTTGCTAATTTAGAAAACATATATATATTTAATTTGAAATAAAAGCCCTTTTTCGAATTTAAATATATATAAATACGGTAAATATAAAATATTTTATTTTCTGGAATTTAGAAAATCTAATTTCTAACATTCTGGAAATTTAAAGTATTTTATGATTTTAATTAAATTACTTGCTAGTTTAATTAATTTACTGTTGATAGTTTATTCCGTAGAATAGAATAAACTAGGTTTGGGGCGAGCGCGGTTCGCCCGGTGTATGCTTTAATATGTATGATGTGATGCTTGTATGTATTATTGCATGGTGAATGATTGTGGCTTAGTTATATTTGTTGTAATTTTAAATACGGCCTGCGTGTCGTGCCTCATCTCTATACTCTGGATGTAATTCTCTTCTTTACCTGAAATATTCTTTTCTCTCGAAAATTATAAGAAGAAGAGAAGACGAAGTCCGTTCGTGATAGAGAATCCTAAGGAAGACGTGATGGGCCGGAGATAGAGATCTCTTGATCAAGGCGCTATCGTTTGTTTTTCTTTAGGAGCCACAATCATTTCACGTTTACTTATTATGCATGTGATGTATGATTGAATGTATGCATGTATGTGATTTTTGCTAGTGCATACGCGCGGTGTATGCCATAGGTAAGACTGCGTTATAAATCCCTCATAATTTTAAGTCTGTGCCACCCCGACGCCCCGTCACTCGTCAAACCCAATTTAGATCGGTAACGGACTCACCCAAGTGAGACGCCCGGTTTACATTGGTTAGGCGCGAAACCCGTAACTAGGGTACTGACTCGCCCCGGGTTAGTCTTAACTAAGTCTTGGTCATAAGGATGAGAGACTTGGGGCACTGCGGTAGGATCAATAAATAAAATCAGATCATCCAACCAGAGTTGTAAATTGTTACAATTGGAATTTATTCCTACCAGAAATAATTTAACTGTAGGGCAAGATGCAAAGCACAACTATAGTTAAATGAAATATGGATCTGACCCAATTAAGAATTTTATTTAAAAGAATCCACCGAACCAAGAGTTGTAATAACGATTGCAATTGGAATGAATTCCTACCTAAATAATTTAACTGTAGGGCAAGATGCAAAGCACAACTATAGTTAAATAAAATATGGATCTTGGCCCGCTAGGGTATTCTTCAAATAGAAACCCCAAGTCAATAGGTTCCGTACTTGAGGGTAGTTGACTTGTTAGAAATAGTGGGAGAGTATTTAATAAAGACCTATTAGATACTTAATTCATGATAATAACTATCTTCGCAAAATTCTGTAGATGGCAAACAACAACACAAACAACCTCGCCCTGCGTTCCATTCTGGATAAAGATAAATTGAACGGAACAAACTTTGTTGACTGGAAACGCAATCTCTGCATTGTTCTCCGCATGGATGAGAAAGAGTATGTGCTCGAAAAGCCCATTCCTCCTGCCCCTCCCGCTAACGCCCCGAAAGCGGTCAAAGATGCCTACGAGAAACACGTTAAGGATGACAACCAGGTTAGCTGTGTCATGCTGGCTACCATGATACCCGAGCTGCAAAAACAGCACGAGGACATGAA